ACCTTCACCTTGACCATTTCCATGGGGCAGAGGGCAACATCGGCGATAAACTCAGCCGAGGCCGAACCAGCCAAGAAGATCATGCCACGGTACTTGTAGGCATTCTCCTCGCCAGCGAGCGTCGAGTAGAAATCATTGAAGATTTCGTAAAAGCCGAACTTGCAGAAGCCCTGGGCCGAGTAGCCGATGGCCGTGGGCGCCCAGCCCTTGAAGAGGGCTGAAGCACCTTCCTCGATAGCGACGAGCTTGATGCCCTGGACAAGGGCATTGTACTTGCCCGGAAAGACCTGCATGTTGGTCTTGACGACGTCCAACGAGCATGTGCGTAAGACCGCACGAGAGGATGCCGCCGATCATGCACTTACCGTAGTACAAAGCGTCGTGCGGCACCGCGTGCGAGTAGCGGGCGTCCCACTTGGCAGCCGACGTGGCCAAGGGTGCGCGGCGGCTCGACGTCATGGGTAAGTAGCCGGCGATGGGCGCGGAGAGCAAAGCGACGAACGACATCTTCAGTGGGACTCGAAAATGAAAGTGAACTGTACAAGCCAGGCGCATTTAAGCCACCTTCGATCGTCTTCCTCGGTGTACCAAATGAAGTTTACTTGCGGCTGGCAAATCAGTACGAGCAGAGCACGTCGATATCGTGTTCAAATCGAATTTACCACTCGTTGTCACGGATAATGGGGAGCGTCACGAGCAACATTTCCGTCTTGGGGTCCCATGTCGCTTTTCCCTCCTTGTACTGGACGGGGTGCGGAAGGTACGTCGAGAGCTTTCTACACAAATACATATCCATCACATGACTACGTCTTTCGATCATTCGTGGCGTCGTACAGCTTGGACGACTGGGCCACGAGCTTTTGCGCCTTGACGTCGAGGTCGATTTCGCGGCGCTTGTGGCCCGGAAAATGGATCTTGACGACGATGGCGTCGCAGTGGGCCGTCGACGGGTCCTTGTCACCGAGGCCCAAAAACACATCTTCCGTCATGACGTCTTGCTTGTAAAGAATCTCGTGTCTGCGCCATCATGAGTGGGGTGTTCGCCACGCATTGTACCTGGGGCGCTTGCGAGCATCGCCTTCGTCGTCGTCTTCCGCATCGCTCAATACCTCGTCGTCGTCCCAGATGGCTTTCGGGTCCTTCTGCTTGATCTGGCCAATGGGCCGAAGCATGGCGTCTACATACCAACACGCTGCCGAAGCTGTTGACAACATGGGAGGCGACCTCGTGGCAGTGGCTGCGCTGCGATCGTCGACGGCGTCACGGACGGGTGCTTCTACATATTTGCCACTCAGTCTACAGCACCCTGGCGTCACGTACGTCGTAGCGCTCGTCGTCATCGGCGTCGTTGTCGTGGCGCAGGAGGTCGCTGAGCGCGAGCAGGTCGTTGTAGGCCGTCATGAGTTTGCGTCTGTAGAAGATCCACCAGCTATCCGGATAAGCACATGGCTAGTTGCACGCAACATCAAATTGCATTTTCCACGACATGGCCGACGAGGGTGGGTACTGCCCGTCCAAGTCGACGCTGTACGTGTCGATGTTGCCGTACGCGTACACGAACAATGACGTCGCGCAGCTCTTTACGGGCTTTGGCAAGATCGCGCGCGTGACGATCCTCCGCGATCGAGAGACGCGGGCGAGCCGTGGTGTGGCCTTTGTCCAGTTTGCCCAGCCCGCCGACTGCGCGCGCGCGTGCGCCGCCATGCACAACGTACCGCTCGAGTCGTTCACGCTCCACTGTTCGATTTCCAAGGACAATGGTCGGTCCACCGAGTTTATCAAGAAGCGCAAGTACTCTGCGAAAAAAGTGTGTTTTGAGTGCCAAGGCGGCGGCCACTACTCGTACGACTGCCCGCGCAATGTGCTCGGCGCGCGCGAGAAGCCCAAGAAGAAGACCACAAAGCGCCGCACCAAGTTTGAGTCGGGCGAAGCCGAGGTGTTTTTCGATATGGACGCGACGTATGGATGGCAACGCTGTCCGATGCTTTGACACGCGTACATGTGTAGGGACATTGGTGTTGCCACGCTCGCGTACGACGCCAAGCCGCCTGCGTCGCCAACCGCGCGGCCTCGCAAACAGCTCAAGCAAGATGCGTATTTTAGCGACGAAGATGCGTGCGACTGAGACGTTCACTATATTATCCACTCAACTATGTCTTGGGTGGCTTGTCGCGAAAGCAACTGCGCTTGAGCTTCATGACCGTGTTGTGCCATGGACTCGGCGCAATGCGAAGAAAGTTCCCGAGCTCGTCCGGGAGCTCGCCGTAGTCGCGGGGCACGGCGCCGTGCAAAATATCGTGCAGATCCGCGTTCAGCTGGCGCTTTGTCCGCTCTTCGGCCTCGAGCGGGTGGAGCAAATTGGGGCGTTTGCGCTCCTTGGCAATGTCGTCCAATCGGCGCTGGAGGATTGCGATGAGTGCCGCGCGATCAAAGTGCAGCGGTTGCACCACGCGCATCGTGTCGTGCATGAGCGCGTCCTTGATGACGTAATCCAAGTTGTTTTCGCGCGCCATGGACGGCGACGAGTTGATCTCGATGAGCCACGGCCGGTACGCCTCGTCGAGTAAAATGTCGTAGCCAAACACGTCAAACGAATTGACTTGGTACGGAATCGCGTCCTCGCCGGCCACGAGCGACTTGAGGATGACGTGGATGATGTCTTCTTTGATTTTCTCCACAGGGGCGTGGACGGCCGCGAGCCGCGACCAGAGATACGCCAAGCTGTACCATTAGCGTGTGTGTTTCATGTTGACATCGATTCCAGCGTACCTCGCTTTCGTGCCACCGGCTTCGGTCGTGGAGGCATTGTTGACGGGGTTGTCGCTACACCCGAACATTGATTTCCTTCTCTCGACAAGTCGGTCCAAGGATAAGAGCGTACGTGACTTGGTCCATGTCGCCGTATTTCTGAATGCTGCTGTTGGTGAGGTGCATGAAGAGATCGTTGATGTCGGTCGCGTCGGTCGAGTAGCGGTGCGTACAAATGCGCACAAAGCCCTCTTGGTAGAAGAAGGCCTACGTCGGCGGACATCATTGTCATTTCGACATTCGACGCAAAGCTACCTCGAGCGGGTTGAAGGACGTGACCAAAACGTAGAGCCGCAAGTCAAACTAGCCATCCTCGAGTGCAATAAAAACGAATAAAAATGGTCGACAGCGGACCTTGAAGCCGTCGAGCAAGAGCGGGTTCTCAATGTACTTTTGCACGACGACGGCTTCGCCGTAGGCCACTTGCCCAAGATCGTTGAGGAGCGAGATGCCACGCCCTCGCGAGAGCGCGACGGGCTTCATGATCCAGACGTTCTTGGCTTGACCGATCGCGTCGCCCCGTTTCTTGAAGGCTTGCACAAACGGAATGTAGTCGTTTGGTAAGATAAACGTCTCGGGGGCAATGTCAAAGCTCTTGAGACGTTCGCCACCGAGCGACTAGGCCATTTTTATAACTCTACGTCGTATCAAAGAAGTCATTGTACCGTGTAGCGATGTAAGCTTTTCTTGAGCATGTCCTTGCGCGTGAGGGCTTTGGCGCCGGCAAAGTGGTTGACTTTTTGCCACACCAAGAGCGTTTGACGCTACGACGCGGGTCGTGACGTCATGCAACACGGGAAATACGTACATCGACGCGGGGCTTGCTCCACGTCCATAAGAGATTCCACGTTGTGTTCAGACCAAGGTCCACGGGCAATTCCTCCCAGTCGGGCAGCTACAAGGTGTGTCCATACTCTTCCGTATACAAACCCTAGTACCTTTTTCAGCGCCTGCGCCACAATCCCAAATACTTCAAGCCGCGACGACGAGTTGATACGATATTGTGCAGTAAACGGCGTCGACTGCGCGCCATCGTACACGTACGAAGCAGCGCGGCTCGTCTTGAGCAAGCCTAGAGTACGCATCAGAAGCTGAATGGGCTTTATGACGGCGCACCGTCGACACCAAACACGGTCGCGTAGTCGTGCATGACGTTCTTCCAGATGGTGTAGAGCTTGAGTTGGAAGCGCAGCGCCGTCTCGCCTTGCAAAAGGGCTTCTTTTGGATTGGTCGTCGACGACTTTTCGTAAAATGATGTCATGATGCAGAGAAAGTTCTTGTAGTATTTCGAGTAGTCGACCATCGATGCCGGTGGCATGGACTGGACGAGCGGCAAGACGGGCGCTGCTTTGGCGTGCAGACGCGGCGTCGACTTGGCCGACCGACGCAACGTGGGCTCGTTCGTTTCTTGGTTTGATTGGTTGGTGGTGGTGTTACGTGCTGCGGTGGGTCGTGGTGCGAGCCGCGGTTTCGACGACTTGGGGCGCAGTGCGTTCGGTGCCAATTCCGGTGTCAATGCACGCGGCGGCGGCGGCGCGAGGGACGCTAGCGTGCTCTCGACGCTTGCTTGATACGATTTGATTTGATTCTGGCTCGCCACGAGATCGCTTAGGATCTGGCGCGCTTGGCCTATGGTTGATGCCAGTCGTGGAGACGGTAGAGTCGCACGCGGGGTCACTAGCTTCTCGACCGACTCGCGTTGTGCCTGGAACCACTCGGGTAACGGTGGAGCGGCAAAAGTCTCTTGGGTCTTTCTCATCTTGTCCAAGGCGCCTAGCCGGTTGTGAGTTGGATAGACCTAGAGCGTGTACGCACTCTCGAGCAGCTGCATCGGAATCGACGAGTGAAAAGTCGCCTTGTCGTACACGGGGGGCACGTACGGCGGCGCCTCTTCTTCATATTCCATCTCGTTGTCGTCGTCGTCGTTGCTGTCGCCCTCTGTCAAATCGACGTCACAACGGTTGTTGCTGCTGCGACTGGGCGAGAGCGTGTCGTCGTCGGCGGCGGCAGGAGAGCCCTGCGACTCGTTGTCCACTCTTGTAGTACCGTCTTCATTGGACGGTTCATTCAAAACGAGTAGATTGTCCGTGTCCTCGCCGACGGCAGGTGACGGGGTCTCGAGATTGTTCGCCGTTGGTCTGTCGCAGTCGACTTTGGATGGAGAAACGAAACCGGAAGGTGCACTCGAGTCCGTGGTTGGTGCTTCGCTGGTCTCTGAGTCTTCGTGGTTTGCTTTTGCCGCCATCACATTGGTTGTCGGCAACAGAATCTCTTCGGGTAGCGGTGCGACAGCGTGACGCGTAGCTTTGGCTGATCGGATGCGAGCCAAGTTTTCGACAGCTTGAATGCTGCACAGCGTGTTGTTGATACGCGTGATGCGCTCGTCCGTCTCGACTTCAACACGCGGCGTTGGGTCTGGCAACGGGTCGATGGGACTCTCGTGAACAGCTTCGTCGACGTATTCGTCCGAGTCGGAGCTTGCTGCGTCGTTGTCACTGGCCGAATCGCTCGACGCATCGTCTTGGTACTGTGCGATAGCTGCTTCTTTGAGTGCCTTGCGGCGTGCGAGCTCCTACAACGTTACCGTTTGCGTGAGAAAGCAATCATGCGTCGCACCTGCTGCTTTTTCAGCGCCATCTTGGCCTGGCGTGCAACGAGGCGGTCGTGGGCGGCTTGACGCCGGAGTTCTTTTTGCTTTTGAAGTCGCTCCTCGGGCGTCTCCTCTTTCGGCGCCTTGGGCTTGGCTCTTCCGCGTTTCTTGAGCTTGAGCGACCCTGTGTTCTGGATGATGAAGCGCACGCTTGGGTCATTCGCAGCAACGCGCGACGCTTTCGCCTTGGCGAGCATCTCCTTGATCGAGAGCCGACGAGGTGCACCGTACGACGCGTCGGGGGGTGTCGTCTCAACAGCCTTTGCTGATGGCGCCGGTTTGGATACCGTCGGCTTGGTTGTGGCTGGAAGCGTGCTGGCGTGGGTTGGTGCATTTTGAGCCGGCGTCAGTTGCGATGGACGTGTTGGCGATGCTGCTGGGGCCCTTGCAAGCGTTGGCTGATGTTGGCCCATGGATTTTGAAATGTGCTCCGGAGCGGCAGGTTTGGCGCCGATTTCCACCAGTGACGTCGTCTTTACCCCCAGAACGAGATCTGCAATGCGCTGGCGCGCGCGTCGGTCTTCCATCTCGGTCACAATGACGGCCACTTCCTTCTTGACATACTACATACATCGAGAAACAAGTCATGGTGTCGGCCCAGAGATGCGTTGCGTACGTGACCGAGGCTCATGTCGTCCGGGTCGTCAGTGAGCGTTTGGAGGAGCGCTTGCAGCTTGACCTTGCAGTCGGCCAGCACGTGGCTTTCGAGCGTAGGAATGAGGCCCAGCGGCAGCAATGGAAAGTGCTCCATGATATCTGGTGCTGCTCGACTCGGCAACAGTTGATTTGCGGTGTCGGCCAAAGTGCCTTGAGGCCCCGTCGTCGCATCAGGCGCGCGGCTAGAGCGCGGACTGGCAATCGTCTGTACGCCGGTTGGTCGCACGTCGTCGTCCTACTGTTATCTCAGTAGGTTGGCTCCCCGCAGAGTAGAGTACCGCTGCCTTGAGCACTGCTGCACATGGTGCCTTTGAAAGCCATGACGGTAGCATTCTCGTGACTTTATTACCGGGCTTTGGGATGCATCGACCTCGGACTTGGCCAAGAGGTTTCCGATCGCGAAACGTTGTTAATAGACTACCCACACGCAACTCTGCCGTCGTGAATGGGCGCTGCTGAGTGCTTGCCGAAGGCAAAAGGCGGGTGCATTTAGCCACCAGACGAAACCGATCGGTACTGTATATATTAATATACCTGGACAAACGATACGATTCAAAACCTCTGGAATACAATATCTCGCATTCGACTTTACGAACCGCGTGATGGACATGGACGCCGGGCAGATGAACGAGTTCCTCGAGGCCATGACCCGCTTCAACCCGGCGATCCCGGACGACGTCGTGGCCCACTACCTCCAGTCGGCCGGCTTCGCGTCCGAGGACCCGCGCATGTAGGCCATCGTCGCCGTCGTCGATGCTGACCTCTCGCTGCGTAGCATTCGCATGGTCGCGCTCGTGGCGCAGAAATTTGTGCTCGACATCGCCCATGACGCCAAGCTCTACCAGCAGCACCGCATGAACGCGCAGGGCGGCACGTCCAATGAAGTACGGTGACAAGGCTGTAGAGTGATCCATGGTGGGTTGCCTATGCTTTACGTAGCGCGCGACGCTGACCATGGAAGACCTCTCGGCAAGCCTGCGCGACTACGGCGTCAACCTGAGCAAGCCCGAATACTTGTGCGACAGCGAGACGACGCTGGTAGAGACAAGCGCGGTGGTGCCGAGCGGCCCCGCGACCAAGGGGTCGAAAAAGTAACCCGTCATCTTCCTTCCTACCTCTTCTTTCATCCGCAAGCATGTACTTGCGCAGATGGAGACGTCAGTAGATCGTCCATGCCTGCTGCCGCTTTATCTGGATGGTTGCTCGGCATTGGTGCGCTCATACGCCAGTTGCACATCTCGGCAAAAAACATTGCATCCGTACTTCAATCGCCAGGTTGAGTTTGTCCAAAGTCAGCGTATTCGTGCGTCTCTCGAAACTTCTGCACCGTATAGAGCCACGGCCGTGAACCGACAGACTCGTTAATAGCACCCGGCCCACACCGCCATGCAGTCGGCATCGCCGGTGGCTTGGGCGTCACAAAAGACACTGCACATGGCAGAGAGCATGACGGGATGCTTGCTCGGGAGCCGCCAACAACGCATCCCGGAGCAGACGCTGCTCATTTTCGCGACGGCCACCGATGGAATGATTTCTTACAGCAGCAAGCTTAGTCTATATACATGGGTTGCGCGCGCCATTGCCCATCGACCACCGTCATGGAGACGATAAAGTCACTCATTTCGCGCCACAAACCTCGGTCATCGACGTCATAGACGGAGGTGTCAGCGGGCCCGAGCGTACTCAAGTAGCGCAATACCTTCTTGCGGCCGCGACGGATCGCTGCTTCTTGGACCACCGACGTCCAACCAAAGCCGCAGACGGTATGCAAATGGTGGAGCATGTCGAGATGCCCGTAGGACGCTGCGCGGATCATCATGCGCTCCGAGACGCGGCGTGGCAGCTCCGTTGGTAAATGGACGGGAAACGCACCACCGACAAGCTCCAAGATGTCGAGGCGACCGCTGCGTGCGGTGGCCACGAGCAGCATGTGCAAGCTGATTTCACTTCTGTCGTCAACCAACACGGATGAAGCGAGTTGCCAGCAGTGGTGGGAGAGTACGTAGGCGACAACGTCGACGTGGTGCTTCACGACAGCATCCACGATCGATCGGCGGCTACAGCGTTGGTCAAATTCCTCATGAAGGTAGCGCACGGTGTGCAAGTGACCGTTCTCCACAGCTTCATTGGTTGCTGTCGATGGCACCTCATGGCCACGGGCGACGAGCAGCTGAAGGATCTCGAGGTGGCCTTGGCTCGCTGCCCAGTACGCCGCCGACCCTCGGACGTAGTCGCTGTAAAAGCCGCCGAGATCACCATCTCGATCTGGCAAGATTGCTCCAAGGCCAGAATTCTCGTCGCTCGAGTCAGTCCACGTGTCGACACCGCCCGTCGGTACGTCCAAGAGGTACGTCACCATCGGTAGGTGGCCCGTATACGCCGCCGTGGCCAATGCGGCGTGGGTTCGCCAGAGGCCGTAGACCTCGTGGAGCCAGCGGACGACGTCGTAGTGGCCGCGGGCGGCAGCGAGGGCCATCGCGTCTTGGTCACAGTCGTCGCGTCGGTGCTTGTGCAGCCATTCGAGCACGTCCATGTGACCACGGTAGGCCGCATAGACGATGGCTCGGCTCGATCCGACGCGGAGGCGGCTCTTGTGCAAAAGCTTCAGCGACGTCATGTCACCGTTGAGTGCCGCAAGCTCCATCACTTTGCAGTGCTCCCACCGATCGAACGGACTGGGGCCATCACGGAGTGACCTCATGGATACGTGCTCGTAGGGAGCATCCGGAGGTAGCCACTCGACATCACTGGGCGCTCGCGGGTTCTCTTGGTCGATGCAGTCAAGTACGTAGCGCAGCATCTCATGGTCTTGCTTGGTGACGGCGAGCTCCAGCAACGGCTTGGTCATCTTCTTCAGATACCCACATGTGTGGACGTGCTGCAGCGCCGCCAGACCCGCTTTCTCCACTATCACTTTGAACGCTGCGTCCGTCAGCTTCACAGAGGCTGCAACAAGGTCGACGACCTCGAGGTAGGTGTTGCCACTGACGCTGTGTGTCGTGTGCTCGCCGTGTGGCACTTCAAATCGAAGCGACGGCTGTACGCCTTCGGTGCGCCGCTCGAGAAGAAATCGCACGATGGACGCGTGACCGTGGACAGCTGCCGCTGTTGCCGCCGCGATCGTGCAGCCCTCGGTGCGCGCTGAGTGTAGAAAAGCAACGATGTCGCCGTGACCATTCATGGCCGCTCCGTCCATTGCCGCCGAGGTGCACACAGCTCCTGCCTCGTGGAGCCATATTAAAAGCGCGAGGTCTCCCGCCATGGCGACGAGGTCCATCATCTTTGCAGTCGCCAGCGCTGGAAACTGGTCCAAGAGTAGACGCAGAATCGGACCTTGGGATGCGGCAGCAGCCAGCTCGAGCGTCGCCGCCGTGCACAACGAGGGGTCCCATCGCAGCCAACGCTGGACGAGCGCCACGTCACCTTCGACGATCGAGAGGTGGAGCGCAAGCGCTCGGTCGTAGACGCGTGGCGAGACAAAGAGCGCGTGGTGAGGAAGCTTGGTCGTCGGGTGTGGGTACCGCTGGAGGTACGGCAACGACGCGAACCGGGCTGGGACGTTGGCGAGGCAGCCCGTTTGGTTACCGTTTCCGAACGATGAGCATGGCGTGAGCTCGACGGCATCCGCGAGGCGCTGGACGACGGCCAAGTCCTCCGGCAGTCCTTCTTGATACGCCACGATGGCTGCGAGGAGGTCGGGCGTCCGGAGCACGGGTGAAGCCATCCTCGTCAATTGGCAA